GTAATCATATTTTGGAGTCTTGGAGAATTCATTGAGTCACTGAAGACGATTCAAGGTTTGCAGACGCGAAGATTCAAGACGCGAAGGATTGAGGGTTTTCTGATTGAAGATTGAAGACGATTCAAGAGACATAATCAAAAGGTTAGTTCATTTCTCTCTGATTTAGGGTTTTCTGGTAGAGGTTCAGATTTAGGGTTTATGTAAATTTGTTAGTGTAAACGTTAACTACTTACATGATATGATTAGGTATCATGGATGAATACATAACTCTCAAAATTCATCATAGTAGTGAGTTCACAGATGAAGGTCGTAGTGTATATGAGAATGGAGTAGTAGATGATTTGAGGGTAGATATAGACAGATGGAGTTATTTTGAGCTAGTTGGTGTATTGAAAGACTTAGGTTATAGGGAGTTTGAAACAATATTTTACAAGGACCCTCAATTTGGGATGAATCCACTTGTTGATGACAATGGTGCTCTAAAAATTGCAGATCTGTATAGGGTGCACCAAAATGTTGATATTTATATTGAACACACATTGTCTCAACCTGACTATTATGATGTTGTTGTTGATGAAGTTGATGAGGACCCTGCTGAAATTGTAGATGAGGTAGAGGAGTTACTTAGTCAATTGCGGATGAAGAAGTTGTGGAAGTTGAACAAACCACTGTTGGTTTAGAGGAAGGTGGGGATGTGGGAATGTACTTTAGTTCAAAGGGTGATTTTAGGGAAGCAATAACAACTTATGCTGTGCAAAATAGTAGAGACCTAAGGTTTGTAAAAAATGACAGAGTTAGGGTAAGGGTTAGATGTAAAGTTGGTTGTGAGTGGGAGGCTTATTGTAGCAAGTTGTCAAATGAAGACACTTGGCAACTCAGGAAAGTAATTGACAAACACAGTTGCAGTAGAGAGTATAATGTGAAGCTGATGAGTACAAAGTGGTTGAGTAAAAGAATTCAAAATAGCTTGAAAAACAATCCAAGGTTGAAATTAAAGGATATCAAGGAGAAGGCACAAAAAAAGTGGAATGTTGGGGTCAACAAAACCAAAGCTATAAGAGCAAGATTTGCAGCTAGAGACTATGTGGATGGTTCCTTTTTGGGAGATTACACAAGGGTCTATGACTACTGTCATGAACTGTTAAGAGCCAATCCAGGGTCAACAGTTAAGCTCAATGTTGAGCCTGTACAAGTAGGTGTTGAGGATGAAAGACCATATTTTAGAAGGCTTTACATATGTTATGCTGCGTGTAAGGAAAGCTTTAAGTTGTGCAAGCATGTAATAGGTCTAAATGGGTGTTTTCTTAAGGGGTTGTGTGGAGGGCAGATACTAGCTGCCATTGGGAGGGATCCTAATGATCAGATGTTTCCCATAACATATGCAGTTGTGGAGAGTGAAAACAAGGATAGCTGGACTTGGTTTTTAAAGCTATTAATTGATGACCTTGAAGGCAAAGATGAATGCCTGACTTGCACCTTCATCTTATACCAACAAAAGGCAAGTTTTTCATTTATTCTTATAGTTTTGTGTTTATGTTATGCTATATTGTATGTTATTGCAGGGTCTGCTACATACTATGGATGAGCTATTGCCAAGGGTGGAGCACAGGTTTTGTGTTAGGCACCTCTATAACAATTTTAGGAAAAAGTTTCCTGAAAAGATGTTGAAGGATATAATATGGAAGGCTTCCAAGTCAACATATCCACAGGCATGGGAAAAAGAGATGAAGGGAATGAGGGTCATCAATGAAGAAGCATTTAAACATATGATGAAGACCTCACCAAGGTTTTGGAGTAGATCTTACTTTAGGACTGAAAATAAATGTGATGTTGTTCTCAACAACATGTCTGAGTCCTTTAATAGTGTCATTCTTGAAGCAAGGGCAAAACCTCTAATCACTATGTTAGAAGACATCAGAACATACATGATGGAGAGATGGGAAAATAACAGAGTGAGATTTGGAACTTTGGATGAGAATGATATTTTGCCCAATATTAGAAAGAAACTTGATGTCACAAGCACATACACCAACAACTGGCTAGTGAGGTATGTCACAGCATGTGACTAGTGTATTTTGTTTGTTTATGACATACATGTGACTAATGTATTTCGTTTGTTTAATCATTTAGGATATCTGATGAACATATATTTGAAGTAAGGCACATAGAAAATCAAGCTGACAAGTTTGTTGTGAACCTGAAAGATCAGATATGTTTATGTAGAAGATGGGAACTCACAGGGCTCCCATATGTTCATGTTCATTCTGCTATGAAGAGTAGGAATTTCAAAATTGATACTTATATTCTAGATTATTATAGGGTTTCAAGGTACAAGGCAGTTTATAAGCATGTGATCTACCTTGTTAATGGAGCAAACTTGTGGGTTAAGACACCATACCTAGATGTGCAACCATCCAAGTTCAGGAAGATGCCTGGTAGACCTAAAAAGAGGAGGAACCTAGAACAAGGTGAAATTGATGGGTCTGCTCGCAAATTGAGAAAAACAGGTTTTCTGGTGAAGTGTAGTAGGTGTAAGAAAGCAGGACATTACAAATCTACTTGTAAGGACACAACAACTCAACAACCTAGCCAACAATCAGCCCAACTCAATCATACTCCAACTCAGACTGTTCAACAACCTAGCCAACAATCAGTCCAACTCAATCATACTCCAACTCAGACTGCTCAACAACCTAGCCAACAATTAGCCCAACTCAATCATACTCCAACTCAGACTGCTCAACAAACTAGCCAACACACTCCTACTTCAACAACTCAGCCTACTCTACAATCTAGCCAAGCATCTCAGAATTCTAATGAAAAGGCTGCTAAGGGCAAGACACATAAGTTGCCTGTAAGGAAGCCAACAAGACCTTTTGTGCCACATGGGCCTACAGCTAGGTTGAGTGTTGCGAAGAATGTTGTTGGCCCAGTAACAAGGAGTTCTACTCCAACAAAGAGGACCACGCCAAAGAAGAAACTCTAAATTGTGGAACATGTGTATTTAGTTACCTAGAACAAGTTTATGTATTATACTACTGTCGTTTTGGAACAATTTTATTTATTCTACTGTTGTTGTCATGAACAAGTTTATGTGTTCTACTGTTGTTGTTTTAGAACAAGTATATTTTGTGTATTCTACTACTGCCATGAACAAGTTTATTTATTCTACTGCTGTTGTTTTGGAACAAGTATATTTTGTGTATTCTGCTGTTGTTTTGGAACAAGTATATTTTGTGGAAAGTATTACAGGTTTATGTATCCTGCTGCTGTTGTTGTTTATAGGTACTATGAAATGAACCTAAAAGCAGAACCAACTTATATGTATCCTACTGCTGTTGTTGTAAACATAAAAAACATAACATACCAAATATATCATTGACAAGGCAAATTAACATAATCTTTAACTGTTGGTTATGCTTTGACAGACCAAATTAAAAACACTTTGACATGATAGAATCCAAAACTGTTATATTCATGTGGATTATGCTTTGACAGACCAAATTAAAACACTTTAGTTGTTGCATACCAAGTTAACATTATCTTTAACTGTTATATTCATGTGGAACTAATACAATTCAAAACTAAAACTGATTCATTCATGTTGAACTGCAAAAACTGAAATTAACTAAACTGATAGAATCCATATATTAAAATCCAACTATTACATTCATGTTGAAGTGATACAATTCAAAACTGATACAAACTTTAATTAAACATAAAAACATAATTCTTACAACCAAAACTTAACTTAATTTTTACAAACAAACCATAACATAATACTTCCAAACAAACCTTAATACCATAACTACCCCTAACAACTAATACAATGATAATCATCACAAACATCAAATTCAAAATCTTTTTCCACTTCATGATATTCTTCATTTCACTTTCAAGTTTCATCAGTTTTTCCCTATTTTTTCATTCTCCATTGTCGCTTTTTCAATGTCCTTTTTTGCTTCAGCAAGTCTCTTAGTTACCACACCCAGCCTATGCATCCAAAATTGCTCATTCTCATCACCCATCTCCTCATAAAACCAATTAAAGAAGCCACAACCAGCTTGCATACTTCCCTATAAGTTTCATTGTTTAGAGGATGATGGATAATAAATTTAAAATTAAACAAAAATATAACTTATAATTTGGACAGAAACAAAAACATAACTTAATCCAAAACAGAACTTCAACAAAGAACAAAACCAGCTTGCATACCTTATAATTTGGACAACCCCAAAAAAGTTTTCTCATATTCTTAACAGTAGTTGCCCTTTGAAGAACAACTATGTCTCCACAATGACACATGGACTTCCATCGTGACCGACTACAAACATCTGAATCCCGACTTTTCGATTTCGAAATGGAGGAGGAACATCCGGATTTCATGCTTGCCAAATAAAAAAACTCTAGATTAAGTTAGGGATTTGGGATTCAGATTATTTTTTAGGGATTTGAACGGAAGAAGGAAGGAGAATGAGGCAACATCATGAACAAAATTAGGGATTTCATGCTTGCCAGGTCATCTGCCAGATATGCAAAATAAACGGACGTTTGGGGGCAACTGACGATGCAGACTAAAATGACACCATTTTAAAAGTTAAAGGACCAATTTGCCATTTTCTAAAGATAAAAGACCAACATGGACCCCGAGTTAAAGTTAAGGGACGAAAAATAGTATTTTGCCGAACATTTCACTTCAATGATAAAGTTAACAACTTTTGCAACCAAAAAATTGACGATTGCATTTGCATATGAGAGAAGTATTACACAATACCACGAATAGGAACATGTTCTCCTGTGTGTAATCCTTAACATAAAAATTCATTATTTTTAGTAACCATATTTAGAACATGCATTGGGCCAGAACTTTCAGTGCTAGTGATCCTTCATTGTTAACTATTTAAAAATGGTCTATAGTCTAATATAAACCAAATATTAACCTCTTAATTTATAAAAGCTTCTTCTCAACAGCTTGATAACCCATCATTCTTTCTACTAATTCAATGTAGTGCAAGATGCCCTGCAGCATCCAAAAGCTTCCCAAGTCTTTCTGAAACCGCAGCCAAAGTTGCCTCGCTCTTGCAGAATGCAAACCTGATGTATCTCTTCTGGTAGTTACAATTTGCATCAGAAGCTTCATTTGATGATAGGTTATTGGTATGAAAAAATCCTTGTCCTGGAACAGCCACCACCCCAGCTTCTAGTATTAACTTTTTAACAAATTCTACCTGCAAATCAAAAAACGTTTATTGCTATAGATTGGCAGCAGAATAATGGACAATTAAAATAGTTCTTAAAATGACCTACACAAGATGGAGAAGAGAGTAAAAAAGTGCACATACATCAGAAAGGGAACAATTCTCAGGAATCTCCGCGAATAAGAAGAACGAGCCTTGAGGTATAAACTGTATTTTAAAACCCACTCCCGCAAGCAACTTGACGATATAATCTCTTTTTGATTGATAGTCCTGCATAGATGGAAACATCATGAAAAAAATGTCTATTTGAGTTGACTTATCTGAGCTTATTTATTGACATAGTCACATAGCACTTGTGAGCTCATACATAAGCCCTTATATGATAAGAACTTAATTAAGTTGTTTTCCAAACCGTGCCAAAGAAAGTAAGAAACGTAGCATTGTTACGACTGGATTCTATTTTACGAGGAGTGACGGTTATTACTAAATAAGTAAATAGTAACTAGCATCAAAGTTCTAGATTTAAAAGTTATATAGAATAGACACTCGTACAATGTCTCATCAGACGGATATTTAATCTCTTACGCTTCTCAGTGATTCAAAGTATTCAGGGGGGCTTCTCAAAGCAGTCAAAGCAGCTTCCTGAAAAGGAGCTGGAGCAGAATCAGTAACTATTATATGAATGTTTCTGATAGCAGACGCAATACAGGCTGGTGCAATTGCCCATCCGACCCTCCAACCTGATTGATACAGACCAACAGTGAGTTAACACTATTCTTCTTAAAAAGAATGAGACTTGAGAGAACCCAAAAATTTCCGGTGCAGTTTAGTTTCATGAGCGTGACTTGATAGATGTTGTTACCTGTGACGCTAAATGTTTTAGACAAAGAAGATGTTATAATAGTCCGTTCTTGCATGCCTGGAAATGTAGCAAGGGATATATGTTTTTGGTTATCATAAGTTATATGCTCATACACCTGCACGAAGAATCCGGAAGAAGGTAAAAATATAACATTATTCAATTACCATTCAACTATTCTACTCTTGCACACAAGCAAATTCCCAATATTTTTGTTGCACACAAGCAAATTCAGGTTGAGAAGTATGACATAATCCAAATAAAAAGCAAATAAGAGACAGCAATTTCTATTTACCTACGAAAACCAAATAGTTTTGAAAAGATTTACTGCCATGAGATGAGATAAAATGTATAAGTAGATACTGATTAATGCGAAAACTGTGGCACTCCAAAATCACATATATATATATATATGATCTAGCCTCTCTAGGGCATTCTCATTATAGTCGATTGACGTAGCAGAAGAAGATTCATAGGGATCATGAGCATCTGTTTTTATTCATTCCATGAACATCTTCTTTAAATCCCATGATTGAAATTATATATGAGCGGAAAGTAGTGTCATACTTCATCTGTTATAGCTAGGCAGTTTCGGCTGCAGCATGCTCCAGCAATAGTCTCAAGTTCACCTTTTGTGAAAACCTTGCCAGTTGGATTGTGAGGACTGTTTAAATTCTGTGTTAGTATTTAGTAATTCAAAACGTGAGGACGATATAAGTGGTTGTTATTATATAGCATAATCACTTTGTGCATCCAATAAACTAAATGGGAATTCTGTGTTAGAAATTATAAATGAATTCTCGAAAATAAAAACATAAATATCACACCAAACTTCATGCTGAGATTTGGGAATACTTCACAGCAGAATAAACTAAATGGATAAACTGAAACTCTTGCAACATTCATGATTTCAATTGATTTTTAGCTTAAACCATAACTTGATAGCACTGGTATTTTTTATTATCATTTATTTATTTACTTCAAAAAAATCCATTAAAGAAGACCAATATGGAGATTTCTATGATGAGGATGAAGTCTATCTAATGTCAAGAGAAACATGAATTTGTGTAAGTTCTAACCTATTCAGTACAATGGCTTTAGTTCTCTCAGTAGTTGATCTCAGCAATTTGCTTGGATCCAAAGTCCACTGAGGCGGGTCAAGTGGCACATGTATCTGTCCAATTAAGTTCACAAAAACAAGCAAACATTAGATAAAGGACAAAATGATTAAATGTTACATCAATAACTTCAACACTGAAATACACAGCAAATATGCAGGTGCATAGGTTTGTAATTGTATACAAGACATGAGATGTATAGGTGGAAAAACAAGCTTACAGGGACACCACCGGCCATGGTAACACATCCTTGATATGTTTCATAAGAAGGGTCAAAAAGTATGACTTCGTCCCCCGGGTCAATTGCTAGTTAAAACAGAACATACTATGATATTAGAGAAAAAGCCAACATTAGGTTACACTGACACATCGTATTGAAGACGTATCAAGTGTCTAACGTGAATAAGTGTCTAACACTATGAAGCACGAACACAGAAATAGACAAGGGACACAGCACCGACACTAACACTGACAGATTGACACCGGTAATAATTTAAGAAAAGAAATAAATTAAACGTCACCACAAGTCTTTTATGTTGGTGTCGGTGTCGGACACAGATACAGACATATTTAACCCTGTGGTGAATTCATTAACAATAGAGCATACTTGCAAAGATTGCAGCTGCAAAAGCCTCAGTCTGACCACAACAAATAGCTACATCTATCAGAGGGTCGATGTCTAAACCATGCATTTCCTTCACCATCTTGGCCAAGTGTTCACATATGCCTTGCACGTGCCTTGAAGTACAGAGAGTAGATAGATAGTATGAATTGATGAGAAAACGAAATAGAGCTTGTGATGTGCCACTACATTGATACTAGTTGCAATTGTGTGTGAAATAAATAAAGTAATAAAAACCTGTACTGATTGAGGTCGGAATTGATGGCGGAAACGGCGGCGTTTTTGATGTGGAGAGGAGCAGGGAAGTCGGGGAAGCCTTCGGCGAGGTTGATAGCGTTGCATCGCTGAGCAAGGTGAGAGAGTTCTTGAATGGGAGACGATGTAAGCTTCTTTGCAGTTCGCGACAGTTTTCCTTCCATTTTTTTCCTTTCGTTCTTTCTTATCACTATGCCGCTACTATCCCTGCTGTCTATAGTTTAAACGGACAAGAATAAGCTAACTTTGATTTTTTTTTACTTTGGTACTCTCTCTATTTTCTTTTTAAATATAGTTTTTTTTTAATTTAATTTCTACACGTGTCAAAATAATAATTTTTTATTTTTAAATATTTTTTTTAAATTTATAATACCCTTAATTTTTTAATAATTTATTTAGCTTTTTTTTTAATTATTAGTAGTTTTGACAATAAAACAATTAATACTACATAATAATATTTTTTTTCTAAAAAATAACATTTAAAAAGAAAAAAAAACTACATTTTTCTCTATTTCTCTTAATCTTCCTTCTCTCAGATCTAAATAACTTATTTAAATTACTCATATAACTTCAAACTACTACTAAAATTACAAAGTCCCCGAAACATCAAAATAGCAAATCCATTTCTAGTCAAAGCGCACAAAATCATATAAGTAGTATAGTCAATTAGAATTTTAAATCACCAAATGTAATTTTTAAGTAAAAAAAATTTAAAGGAACTAACTAATATTAAGTTTATAGCTAAAAATATAAATATTATGAAAGACAAGTATATATATATCATAAAGACAAATATTATGAAAGACAAGTATATATATCATAAAGACAAGTATAGATATCATAAATCAATATCTAATTTGATAAGACATTAAATTAGAATATTAAAAACTAAGAAATAATTTATAGTTATTTATAAGGGTTATTGTCACCATTTATAGAATAATCGAAAAAACACGATTTATCATCATTCTCTCTTCATCCCTATTAAATTAAGCAAATTCATCAGAACCTAAAGAACTCTATAAATCAAAAGATCACATACCCGCGAACTTTCGGCGATTTTAATGACAAACTCAAGTACGCTTCCGCTTTCATTCTCGTCTTGTATCCAGGTATTAGTACATAGGATATGGACTCATAGGAATTTCTATTCTTGATTTCTATATGGGTAGAGATACATAATGTAATGAAAAATCCAACAAAGGGTGTCAAAGCCACATATATCTTATTCAATTTGAATTTGAGTTTTTTTTATACTAGGGTTCAAAAATTTGGATCCATATCTACCATATATTTTATGTTGTTAATCATTATTTTGGTTTATGTTTCATCATTTTTCATGTTGGATACTTAACAAATTTAGGGGAAATGGATATGTCGTTGTTTTGCGTTAAACACAGTATGTGCGTCGTGACAGTCGTCACTCTTGGTGACGGGCTGACCGTTACGCAGTCTGGGCGCTATGAAGGACTGATCGTCGCGCTCCGTAACCCTTATGATGGGGGTGGTCATGTTAACGACCGTTAATGTTGGCTAACGTGTACCGCCTATTCTTGATGACGACCGTCAATACTATGACGAACAACCACCTCTTCCAGATGATGACTATCATCGTTGGATGATGGACAGTCCCTACTATTGGTAAGGGTGACAATCGTCACTGTCTGTGACAGCCAAACCGTCACCCTATCTAATTTTTGGGTACTTTTTCCATTTAATTTTGTTCAAATTTGGCCACGGGTTGTATTTCATAGAATAGTTTAATCTTTTAAATGAATCAATTAAAATGAGAAATCACCAAAATGACCTCTTTCAAAGGGATTACTTATGAGATATGTTAAATGTTTATTTTTTGTGTGATGTTTTCCATGCGAGTATCAAATGACAATTGATGTTTGGTCGTATTTCATACACACGTGTGATGGTAAACATGTGACAATTATAAGGTTTCACGTGTTAATGGTAAATAAATCCAAATAGGGGTTTGTTATTTGACATGTTTTATCATCAATGTTTGATCATTACAACAAGAGTACCACCAACGGTCAATATTATTATATAGACTTGATATTGATGGTGCAATAGGTATCTTGAGATGAGATGACATAATTTGAACATATTAATGATTAAGTTTAATTTTTTGTGCCTAGATTTCTAGGGTTTAATTTGTTCTATTTTCAGCTTCAATTGGTTCAATATCTGCTATTCTGAATTTTGTTCCTGTCATTAACAAATTTTAAGGATTGGAAGGAGAACGTAGAAATTGTTCTTGCCTGCATGGATCTTGACCTTGCATGAAGGATGAAAACATCACCTTCTCCTATGAAATCTAGTGCCTATTAAACTAACGGTCAGGAAAAATTCACAAATATGGTTTTATTTAGAGGATTACGAAGGAGACTGGATGATTCCAAAGGAAATGGGGAAGAAGAGCTTGTTGATTTAAATATGGGAGTAGAATGGTCTATAATTTGGGTTGAATAGACCTTTTCCAATAAAAAAATGCTTTCAAAATATGAGTTAAAAAGTGCAGGAGTGAAAGTTTAAAAGGTGTTTTAAAAGGATTACACGATTGAATTGATGTACAAATGAATTCAATGATAACAAGATGATAGATAATAAACTAATCAATAATATGATAATTAATCTAATTAGATTAAAACAAAGAAGTTTGAATAGAATCTGATTAATTTATGTAACAATCTAGAATTACAACTTTCTAGAATATTCACCATAAAGAAATGTTTAGCATACTAGATCTAACACATACATAAGCTTAAATATTAAATCATGATGAATAATAAAGCCTAAATACATGAAAACTAGAAATAAATTAAATCCTAATACTGTTTAAATTCTATACATAAATTAAAAGAGTGAAAGGATATAGAAAGTGTACATCAGAGATTTATACCAATTTGGTGTGTCGTTCTCGCTTGCACCTAGTCTAGTCACCAATGGAAACCCATTAGAAATTATTGAGTCTTCCACTAATAGATTTACAAGTGTCTTTTAGATACATATAATAATCATAGATACTGAAAACTTAGATCTAAGAGTTAAGTTATAGTTGTTATTCTTGAGTTTCCTTCAACAGCACACACTCACTAGAATACAAAACTTTCAAGATCTACAATCTTGAATCGATCCACCTTTTAAGAACTAAAGCACTCCAAAAAAATTGTTCATAAAAACCTTCACTCGATCCTATAAGAATTCCTTTGTTTGATTCTATGAACTTGTTGAAGGAGTTAAAAACTCTAAGACCTCTTAGAAAAGACTTTCGTATTTTTCTTCGGTGGATGTCAATCTCTAGAAATCCACAATTTAATTCTTCAATTTGAAATAAATAATATTCACGAGAATATTAAAACACATATTGAATCTCCTCACAATTAAATCCTGTACTCCCTTTTAGAGTTGAGCAACATTCATCAATAGTGTTTTTGGTTTGAGAAAGAATATGAACTTTTGCAAATAAAAATATCACACAAAAAATTTAAAAACTCAATAAAGTAACAATCAATTTTTTATATTCAAGGTCAATAAGAGAAAGAAGATTTGTGTAATTGATGAACACTCAAGGTTTTCTGAAATTTTATCATGTGGATATGCAAGTTTATGCAAGATTATTTTTGCAAGCTACAAGGCAAATAGAAAAAATAGATTTTATATTTGTAAGAAATAAGAAATTAAAATAGAGTAAAAATTACATTTTGATTTAAGTCAAAAGAAAAATGATTATCCAAATCTAGTGGGAGAATGATTTGAATCTAGATGAAAAAAATTTTGTTTTAGCATGTTTGATTCGAGTTAAAAAAGGTTTGACTTGAGTCACGTGTTAATGGTAGCTCTAAAGGCCAATAGATTTATAAAGAACTTGATACATATATTGGATTATCTATTAATAATAATAAAGACTTTATTTGTTATGTTTGTTTGTCCAAAATAATAAAGTCCCTAGAATATCTAGTGCGTTTAATAAAATATTAAGTGCGATTTAATTATAAAATCTCATTAAACATAAACACATTATTCTTAAAGTATCTGCGGTATAGCTTTATTATGAATTGGGATAGCAATAAAGCATTGAGATCAGGGTCATCTCAAATAATTTGGAGGCTCTGTTCTAATATTAAAAGTGGATCCCCGAAAAAATAATACAATTTTTAAAACAATTATCTCTATTAAAATATTAAATAAAGTCAAAAATATCAAACATAGTCATGCTTGTAAGTAACATAAAAAAGATTTATACTCTAATCAATAATATTAAAATACAGCTCCAAGTTAATATTATTATCAAAATTCTACCTATTTAAAAAGAGTCAACCTTTTAACATTTTTTGAAGCAAATTCATTAACAAGTTTTCATATTGAATTCTCTCTAACAAATTATTCTCAATTGCTATTAGTGATAAGTCATTAAGTCTTTCTTGTAACATCGTAGACCGCAAGTAAGACTTCAACTTTAATTTTGAGAAACTTCTTTCGGCAGAAGCAACTGTCACAAGAATAGTAAGTAAAATTTTATAAGTAATAATTGTATTGGGGAAACAATCCATGACTTTCAAAAATTGTAATATATCAATAGGTCCTTTTTTTTTCTTCGGACAATATATCTCTTAGTAACCTTAACTCCACACATAGTTCTTTTCCATCAATATCATATTGATCATTATGTTTTAACGTCTCTTCAAAAATGATTACAACAAGTCTCCAAAATTGCACTATCCAATGAATGTAACTCGCGAGAAATAAACAAAAAGTCAAAAATATTTTTATATAATCAGTATTGCTCAAATCTTTTCTTAAGAGATACAACAGTTTAATTAACAAGATAAAAAAAATAATGAGTCCTAAAAGATTCCTCTTTAGATAGATCAACTAACGGGGTATTCAAATTCTCATCAAACTGTATTTTCCTTCTAATTATATGTCTTTGAGGAAATACTAGTTAATATTCAACTCAATAACAATTTCTTTAGCATATTCCAAGGCCTTATTAAAACTAGTTTCTCTATATCCCTCAAAAAAAAAATCAACCCCCTTCATTTTTTATATAGCAACATCAATAAACATATCCTTTGACTGTAAAAGCTTGCTAATAACAAAATTAATTACATATAGTACTTTAAACCAAATAATTATAGATATTAAAAAC